ATGCCCTCTGGTGTAAAATAAGGGACCATGGATGAGATCGATTATACTAATCAATTAAAGAGTAGAACAATTTTGTCAGTGTTGACACAAGTGCTCCAAGTCTCCCTTGCTGGTTTTTGTTATGTTAGGTTTTGAGCTCATCTCCAGATTCGCAAAAAGAGCAAGAGTCTTCATTTGGGGAAAATCTGTACTACATAAATGTTTCTTAAATGTATTTTATACATTTTACATGTTTAGAATACTGAGAGTTATGATTCCAATGGTTAAGGTTAAAACTTGAATAATTTAGTTTAAAATCACCCTAGGAAAGAGTATCTGTGAAATGTAAGGATTTCAAAGTTTTGAATTCTCCCCTATGCCCCCAAATCCTGCTGCTGTCAACCTTTTTTTTTTTTTTTTTCCTTTTTTTCTGAGGAGTCATTTTTCAGGTCAGTGGTGCTGACCCTCTGGTGGTTACAAAGTCAGCCATTAGCCTGTGGGCACATTAGTCAGCAGCTGCCATCTGCCAGTTGTTTTAGACATTAACTGGTTCTTGGCCAGATCTGGGGCCTAGGCATTGCAGTGGCATTCATTTGAGCAACTCCCAGAATCCTTGAGAGGGGGTGAGAGATCACCCAGTCCAAAGCCATTGCTCTGTTCCACACTGCGCTTTCTTCCTCCCGAACTCTTAAGGCAGAAGCAAACAGAGAGTGGGAAAAGGCCTTGCTGAGTTAGGACTCCGGAAGTCCCGTCCCAAATGGCCACTAACACATTCTGTAGTCCTTTCAATCAAAGCTCCTTCTAGCACCCTCATGTCCTTCCTTGTCACTACATTAGTAGTGGCAATTACCACCCACATGACGCGTCTGTGAAACAACAGGATAGTGGAAACAGGATCTGCCCCACGGTTTTGTTTTCTTTTTTTTTTTTTTAAGGTTTATTTATTTTATTATGTATACAATGTTTTGCCTACATGTACACCTGAACGCCAGAAGAGGGCACCAGATCTCATTGGAGATGGTTGTGAGCCACCATGTGGTTGCTGCGAATTGAACTCAGGACCTCTGGAAGAACCTCTGAGCCATTTCTCCAGCCCCCAGTTTTGTTTTCTTGAAACAGGTTTTCACATAGCACCTAGCCTTGAACTTGTTCTGTAGCAGGTGATGATGCTTCCACCTTGAGCTCCCGAGTGTTGGGATCACAGGCTTGTACCGCTATGTCAGATACCATGCAGTGCTGGGCAGAGGGCTCAGTGCCTATCAGGCAGATACTCTCCCACCTGAATCCCACCCTAGACACCATGCTTCATAAATCAATTACGACCTTTTTATAATAATTATTGCAGTATTACCAGTCAAAAGCCTAGATAGGAGTTAGTAAGCTCAGAAAAGGCAAGGTAAGGACGGACACTTTGATCTTAAACTTTGGGTCTCAAGCCATCTTCTGATCTTCAGCCTTCCAAGTAGATGAGACCATGGGCACACACTGTTACCCAAGATGACACGTATTTTGTGAATGTAAATCTTAAGTCTGAAACTTTTTTTTCCTGGGTCAGGGCTTCTCTGTGTAGATCTGACTGTCCTGGATCTTGCTCACCAGGCTGCTCTACTCTGTGACCACCACTGCTTTGCAAACGACCTGCATTTTAAAAATTCTTCTCTTTTTTTGTTTTTTTTTGGAGACAGGTTTTCTCTGTGTAGCCTTGGCTGTCCTAGAACTCCCTCTGTGGACCAGGCTGGCCTTGAACTCACAGAGATCAGCTTGTCTCTGCCCTTCCAGGTGTTTCTGTTTTTTTGTTTTGTTCTGAGACAGGGTTTCACTGTGTATCCTTGGCTGTTCTGGACTCACTTTGTGGACCAGGCTGGTATCAAACTCAGAGATCCACCTGCCTCTACTTCCCAGAGTGCTGGGGTGACAGGCTTGCGACACCATGCCCAGGTGACTGCCTTCCTCATTCTCTTTCTTTCTCCACCCCTCCCCCTGCTTTTTTTGAGACAGGGTTTCTCTATGTAGTCCTGGCTGTCCTTAAACTCGCTATATAGACCAGGCTGACCTTGACCTCAGATATCCATATTAATTCTAAAACATTTGAGAGCAGATATGATGATCCATGCCTATAATCTCAGCTATTTGGAAGATTGAGGCAGGAGGAAAACAAATTCGAGATCAGCCTCAAGTGCACATTTTAAGTTATATGATCTTTGGTAAAAGTATATAGGAGATGAAAGTATTTATTGCTTTCTCTCCATGTTTTCCCTATAGTTTTAACTAGAAACACTGCATTTTTTTTCCTATTGCCCTAGAGACCTGATTGACTTCTAGAAAAACTGAGTGTACTAGAACCTTCCCACCCTTCAGAAAAGTTCATGTGCTTGTTTATAACTTGTTTTGTCTGGGATGAACTGCCCATGCCAGCTGGGTGGTAGTGGCACAGCCTTTAATGCCAGCACTCAGCATTAGGCAGAGGTAGGTGGATCTCTGAGAGTTCAAGGCCAGCCTGGTCTATGAAGCCAGTTCATCAGGACAGCCAGAGTTATAAAGAGAAGCCCTGTCTCAAAACCAAGAAAGAAAGAAAGAAAGAAAGAAAGAAAGAAAGAAAGAAAGAAAGAAAGAAAGAAGGGAGGGAGGGAGGGAGGGAGGGAGGGAGGGAGGGAGGGAGGGAGGAAGGAAAGAACCCATGCCACATGGGCCTTCTTTACTTTGTGAGGTTTTCCTAGCAAGAGAGCTAGGGTTTAGATTGGGGTTCACCATGAGGGTAGCACTGAGGAACTGGGTGAAATGTATACCTGTGCATCACTACCTGCTTGGATTCTGAAAGGCTTCATGAATAGGCAGCCTGAGCTCAAGCTGGCCAGGAGAGCCACTCTACTCATGGACTTATTTTATTCTACAGTTTTAAAGTCCTTTTGGGGGGGCAGGTGGGGTGGGGGCACGTGCATGTATTAGAGTCAAAGGACAACCTTCATGTGTTTGATCTCTCCTTCCACCAGGTAGGTACAGGAGAACAATCTCGAGTTATCAAGCTCCGTGGCAGGTGCTTTTATTGGCTGAACCAACTCACCAGCCTATATGGGCTTTTGAGGTGAGAGAGTTTAGACACAGGCCTCCTGTACCAAAGGATGTAGAACACCTTCTCTGGGTGTTAAGAAGCTAGAGAGCCTTCTTTGACTCCTCCTTCAACTCCCATTTGCTTATAGAGAAACCTACTCATCAATTTTTTTTGTGTGTGTTTATGTATGTATGTGTGTGTGTGTGTGTGTGCATATGTGTTGTTATAAAGTAAACCCCAAATGTTTGATTTTACCAATGAAGACTCAGGAGCCAGATGCTGGGGTAAAAGCCTGCTAGCTCAGAGGTAGAGAAAGTACCCAACTAACCTTCCTACTCCACTGAAGTCCCAGAAGGAAAAGGCCTTTTCTCCTTCTCCGCAAATGTCTTAAATACGCTCAACTCAATGTTGCTTTTTTTGGGGAGGGGGGTTTCCAAGATAGGGTTTCTTATGTAATAGCCCTGGAACTCCCTTTGTAGATCAGGCTGGCCTCGAACTCGGGGATCCTCCTTCCTCTGCCTCCCAAGTGCTGAAATCAGAGGCATGCGCCACCACTCCTGGATTTGCTCTGCCTCTTGACCCTTGGTTTTATTTATTTTATGTATATCTGCATGCATATCTGCACACCAGAGGCATCAGATCACACTATACATGGTTGTGAGCCACCATGTGGTTGCTGGGAATTGAACTCAAGACCTCTGGAAGAACAGGCAGTGCTCTTAACCACTGAACCTCTCTCCAGCCCTATGGTTGACTGTAATTAGCTCTTGATAGAAAGCTCTTGGGTTAAAAGTGTGTGCTAGGGATGAGCCTTACCATAGCTAAAAACAGGTTTTTCTAGTAACAATCTTGGCATTCATAGCATGATCAAATATCCTGTATCATAGTATGGATGGGGGGACCAGGACAACCTTGGATGACTGTTATTCCTTAGGCACCAACCACCTTTTATTTTAGGAGTATTTGGCGATTGACCTCAGGTATTCTTGCAGTCACTCTGCTAACTGAACTATGTCTCCAGCCTTGCCCATCCCCTCCTGCAGTCTCGGAATTCCATCCTGTTTTCTCCTCCAAGCTGTCTGCCAGTTGTATCTTTAAAGCTTTTCAATTAATGTATTATAGTTGCCTCTGAAGTCGTCTTCCTCCCTTTACGGTGTCAGCTGTCTAACCCTCCATCAGGCACTCTTTATAAGAGCGCTAGTTTTAAGAGTGAAAATACGATCATGTCTTTTCCTTCTTTGGAATCTTCAGTCTCCCTATTAACTTACAGGGCAACCTTCAGTGTCTACAGCATCTGCTGTTAGTCATTGGTCCCTATGTCTGTCCCTCTTTCCTTACACTGTAAATTCCCCTCTGTCTGTAACTTACACACCCCCGCCCACCTATACAGTTAACTTTTTTTTTTTTTTGAGACAGGGTTTTCTCTGTGTATTCCTGGCTGTCTTGGAACTGACTCTGTAGACCAGACTGGCCTCTGCCTCCGAAATGCTAGGATTAAAAGTGTGTGCCACCGTCGCCCTCTACACAGTAGACTTCTTAAGAGAAGTGTTTTCCAATCAAATTCCTATGGCTAGGATACAATCTAGTGTTTGTGACGTGTTGACAGAGACTAGAATCATCTGGAACGTGGCCCCTGGCATACATGTAAGGGATTATCTTGATTTTGTTATATGATATGGGAAGGCCCATCTTAGTTGTGGGTGGCTCCATTTCTTGGGCAGGGGTCTTGGGGGTCAAACAGAGGAAGCATGCCAAGCACCAGCATGCGGTCATGGCTCTCTGCTTGCAGATCAGCTGCTTCAATCATCTGTTCCCTTGACTTCCCTGCCACCATGGGACTGTACCTCAAACTGTGAGGCCAAACTAACCCTTTCTCCTTTAGATTGCTTTTCTCAAGGCATTTTATCACAGTAACAGGAAAAGAAATGAACTACACATAATAAAAACTCATAATAAACACCTCGAAGAAGACTATCATTAGCATTTCATTTTAATTAAAATTAACAGTTTGGAAGGACTGGACTGGAATAGTGTTTAATATCAACTTCTGAAAAATCACATTTATATAAAAGAAATGCAACAGGCTAGCAGAAATCCAAAAAAGGTGCATCTTCCATTATTGCACATGGATGAAATGTGCTATTTGGGGAAGGATGATACTTAGGCTAAGGGACAGGAGGAAGAGAAATCAGAGAGGATAAACCTCTAGTCTGTATTTTTTTTTTTTTTTAAGATTTCCAATTCTTCAGTGGCCTTAAAATATATTTAGTATTTTGGATACATAGCCTTTATCCCTACCTATGGCTGCCATGCATTTTAAATACACACATTTAATTTGTTCCAGCCCTGTATGAGCGCACTGTGCAGGTCTCCCAACATCTGCAGACAAAAGCCCCCGGTGCTCACACTCACTGACATCAGTGGAAGTTTCTTTTTCGCCCTTATAGGGAGCCGTACTATAGCTATTGCTTAACATTGAAGCACTTCTGATTTTGGTCATTTATATTAGGGCAAGAGAAAAAGTGACAGTTAATGTGAACGGGTACCAATGTAACTCCTAGACCGCTACTACACAATAAAATACGACTAGAAAAAAGCAAAAACAGAAGACTCCCACGCCACAGTCATTAAGGTGGCAATAACTGTATGAAAAAGAAAAGGGTTGTAAACGTATAGAAAAGTTCATCTTTGTCTTCTAAACAAATTACAAAATAATTTTTGCTTTTATCTTTGAGTGTTATTTAAAAAAAAAAAAAGTAAACCTGTGGACCTAGTTACCACAAAGACTTGTCCTTGTCCTAAGCCCAGGTTTGACCTTAAAGTTTGGCCTGAGCTAGTTTGGCCTTCAAGTTTTCTCCAAGTTTGTCCATGAACTCAAATGTATTCAAGTAGTCAGAACGTTGTACACTGGTGGAAGAAAGAAAAAAAAAAAAAAAAAGAAGAAATTTAGTTTTTTTCTGATATGGTAGGAGGTAATTAAAAACAAATTCCAGCAATGCGACTCACACTTACAAATCTGAGGGCAGTGACGGAGGCCCCTGGGACTGACTGGGCTCAGGGTAGCCCGTAGGGGCACTTCGTGTGTATACAGTCACAGAAGGCTGCATAGGTCACACGTGTGGCTCTGAACTACCGGGAGCTTCAGTTCAGGCTAATGCCAATGTGACTGGGACCACCTCACCTCTTAATTTTAATTCTTAAGACAGAACAAAACCCATTCAAGGTATAGCCATATGCTTTCCTACAAACAAACAGCTTTAATGCTCTTATTTTCATCTGTGTCTTAATAAAAACAAAAGGCAATGAACTGGCTGGGAAAAGTTTACTAATAAATGCCTAAAGAGTAGGTTACAAAACCAGTACACTAGAAAGAATGTTTCAAATGTATCTTTGCTGGAGATTTAAGTCAAGAAACATGTAGTGAATGAGTCCACTCCTTTCCCCGGCTATTCCCACTGTAACAGGGTATACTGGTGGGCCTACGGTATTAGTTTATATTTTGGTAAATTTTCCTTTTTAAGAAAATTTGTAATGTTTTTATACATTTTAATTGAAATACAATTATATCACTTTCCTCCTTTCAGCCACTCCCAAGTCCCCTCACCCCAGGTCCTTCCATGTCCCTCTAACTCTCTGATAGTTTCCTTCCCCAATTATTATTGTTGCATATATATATATATGCAGGCACAAATATACAAATACAACCTGACGAGTCCACTTTTGTTGTTTGTGTGTATGTGGTTTCAGGGATGACTTTAGAACCTCAGGATGAGATGTCTGATTGACAGCTGAGCCAGTGAGGACACCGGCTCCCTGGTCCTCAGGAAAATCCTGTAACCACAGGGACACTGGACTACTGGTTGCAGGCACTTCAGGAAGGGACGATGCCATCTGGACTGTTTACATTCATACTTAGGCTGTTTACTCGTTGGGAAGTTAAAGAAAACGAAAGGGTAGAATACCCTAGCTCCAATTTCCCTCCCTTGTCTACTCTCTCCCTAAAGATTTACTTTTATTATTTTTAAGTTATGTGTGTGTCTGTGTCTGTGTGTGTGTGTGTTACACGCACATCAGTGTAGGTGCCTGTGTTGGAACTCCTGGAGCTGCACTATAGGCCGTTGTGAGCCACCCAACCTGGGTGCTGGGAAGCCAACTCTCTGCAAGAGCAGTAGCTACTCTTCAGCACCGAGCTACCACTCCAGCCTGCTCATTTTTTAAAATTAATGAGGACGCTTTCACTTTAACAACCACCCACTAGACCAGATGCCAGCAAACTAGAGGCCAGCCAGCAGACCAAATCTAGTTCGAGCCCAGTTTTGTATACAGGAGTTTGATTGGCATGCCACCACACCATGCACCTCCGTATGACCTATGATCACTTTCTTGCCACAGTGAGTGACAAATGTGAAAGCGAGTGCCTACAGGAAGACTGTAGATCTCACAGAGCTCAGCAGGTTCTCCACCTGCTACCAGACAGTACACAGGCATTTCATACTGACCCCAGAAAAAAATGAACAACTCACATAATTCCAGAGAGGGGTGATTTGACCACAGAGGGCAGGGCATCTCACACTTACTTGGGTAAGCCTTTAATGCAGGCAGCCAAGTCCTTAGTCATAAAGCCAGCCTCAATGGTCTCAACGCAGACATCTTCCAAAGCCTTTGCAAAGAAGCTGAGCTCAGCATTGTCATCAAGCTTTGCTCTGTGGGCTAAGCCTCGGGACCAGGCAAAAATGGAAGCTAAGGAAAGGAGACAAGAAGTTGCTATTTTTATCCCTTCTGTCACGGGGAGTCCAAGCATTTCACTTCTTTCCAGAGATGGGATGTGTTTTTGGTTAGGTGATGGGCATCGTTAGGTGCTATGAATTAGAGATTAGTTTTAGGACAGTTGGAAGTATGTTAGTTAAAGCCTTGTTAGAGACATTTTATTGTTCCAGGGGTAAAGGAAAATGCTTTTGAAAACACTCCTCTCTGTAACGCCTATTCTCCAACAAAATAGAAGATTGGACTTATGTATTTTAAAGGACATTAAAATAGCTCTGAAGAGCTGAACATGGTGACACACACCCATAATCCCAGCACTTGGGAAGCAGAGACAGGAGGATTGCTACAAGTTCAAGGCTAGCCTGTTCTACTTATAAAAGTTCTAGGCTAGCCTGGATACTTAGTGAGACCTTGTCTCACCACCCACCCTCCAAATAAAACAAAGTGAGACAAATTAAAAACAATCCACAACTCCAAATACTAATGAGGCAGCAACCTGGCGATGATGTTGCACAGGAGTCTCTTTAGCAAGGCACAGGTCTCGGTTCCTCAAGGATCGCCTTGAAGAGCTCTCTGGCTGGAAATCAGTGAAGCAGATGCCATCTTACCAATGGGGTTGGTGGATGTCTCCTGCCCTTTCTGGTACATGCGGTAGTGACGTGTGACGGTGCCATGGGCAGCCTCCGCTTCTACCGTCTTACCATCTGGACAAACCAGCACACTTGTCATCATGCCAAGGGAGCCATAACCTGTAAATGGCAGAGCGTGTTGGATAATGAAGCACTTACTTCACTGAGTTGCTGTGGGTCTACGCGACTGTGGATACCTGGTTACGTTCTTATATCCCTTAGAACAGAACTTCCTAACAAGCAACAGTGCTCGCTGTTCTCACGCACAGAATACGTTCCTTTCTCCTGGAGAATGGAAGTGAGTTGTCTATTGCCTTCATGTGCTCACCTTTGCTGAGACGGGAAGAAAAGGCAGATTAAAAGCAAGACGGTTGAATGCAGGAACAGCCTGCTGCTTTCCTGCCACACTAACTCCAAGTCTATATGAGCATAAAAATGTGCTATATAAGCATAAAATTATGCTGCTAAGACGAGGAGACACGTTTCCTATGGGAATCCGCTCCCTGGAAGTCCCTGGATGTTCCCCCTGGCCATCTACGCCAAAAAGATGTACTCTGAAAATCCTGCTTTTTCAGATGAAGGATTGAATGAGCCTTTTGATTTTTCTCTATGATTCCTGGTCCAGCACAACTAACTATTCAAGAAAATATATTTTTGATAGATTACTAAAAGCTTTAGCAAGAATAGAGTAAAAGAAAAATAAGTAATGAATCAGATTTAGTATTAGAAAGCATTACAAGAATAATGAAAAAATAACGGGCTCCTTCTTAGGAAAAAATAGCATGAGAGGTACAGCTGGCTCGAGCTTGCCCCCCTTTAGCGTCTTGTTTCTAGGGAAGATCGTAAATCTTTTACAGACATATGGGAGAATGGTTAACAAAGGTGTATTTAGATTTTAATACAGAGAAAGATTTTGGCAGGCATCTGACTTAGCCCCTGACTTTCCTCTTCGTTGGTTAGCAATAATGAAACTGCAGTTTGAGGTTTCTTTTCCTTTGTCTGCTTTGATCAAAAAGTTCTGCCAAGATTTCTTGTGGTCACTGCTTTATGTTTGACTACATTTTTGAGTTAAAATGTAAACTTTATATTCTTGGTAAAAATCTAAGTGTTCTGGGAAATATGCCAACTTTAAGGTGTTTCCTTATGTAATTACTATAAAATTATTAGCCTGACTTTGGTACAGTTACAGCAGAATCACTCTCTCCAGTGTGGTCTCTGACTGTCATTCGCCTGAAACTGTGCCTTCCTGACATCCAAACCTCTGGGCCGGTCCGTGGCACTTTCCCTTGAACATACCACTCTTTTCTGCAGTTCCCTATTCAGAGAACCTCACTCCAACTTTTAAGTCCATGCAATTGCCTTTTCTTTTCACGCATTCTTTACTTGACTGCAAAGCACCTCCTTCATTCTCTTTATTCTCCCATGACCACCTAATGAAGCTGATGATACAAATTTATAACAATAACAGGTTATTAGCAGGCTACATGTTTTGTTTTGTTTTTTTTTGGTCTGATACCAAGAAGATTCTTTTATTTTACCTTTTGGTCCTATTACATTTTTTGTTTGTTTGTTTGAGGTGTTTGTCTGCCCTCACGCGTGTGCACGCACGCACATGTACACGCAGAGGTCAGAGGACAGCCTCTGAGAGTCACTTCTCTTCTTCCACCATGTGGACCCTGGGACCTGAACTCCAGTCACCAGGCTTGGTAGACGCCTTTGCCTGCAGAGCCATTTTACCAGCCCATATTGTTTAGGTCATCCTTGACTTGAGTGAAATCAGTCTCTCCCTTCCTTATGGTGTTATCTCATGCACCTGGTAAGTGATTACAACAGGGAAACTTCACAATCAAACCTGAAAACCACACAACTTCCCTATTGTCATCTCTCATGGTGAGGATGTAAAAAGAGAACCAAGGCATTCTACCAAGGAGTAAAGAGGGATCCCTAAGCACCAAGGACGAGATCCCCAGAGCTCAGTATCCGGCAACAACGGGTCTAAGGAAGAGGAAATGAGATTCTTCCTCTCACCGCCTAGCACCAATCTAAATCTATTCACATTAATTTAAGAGCAACTCCTTATGCTGAAACTGGCAAACAGAAGTAAAGCATTTAAGAAGAAAGGAGAACTCTGCGTGGAGGCAGTGGCTCTCTCCAGTGCTTGTGTAGCGCCAACGCTTCAGATGCAGTGTTTGGTGAGGAGCTTCATACCTCACGTGGGTCCAACCCGCACTCTCTCCCATTCTGTGGTTTCATGGTGCCTACCCGACCTAGCTCTTGAGACACTGGCTGGTGCCACTGTCAAGCTGAGGATGTAAAGGAAAGGCTTTGAGTACACGGCAGCTACACCTCTCAAGAAGAGGGAGAGCAGCTCTGTTGCCTCGTAATCTGCTTGGCTCGCCGAGGTCCCCCGATTTATAGACTCTAGGCAGTGTTAGCTGGATCTGCTATCAGGGCTTAGCATACTTCAGAAACTGAAATATTCCCTAGATCCTTCCTTTGGTGGTGGAACTTTTGAAAAGGATGATGGGATTTAGCTCACGGTACAACGCTTCCTAGCATGTACCAGGTTTTAGAATGGCTCTGTGCACCTTTCCCAGAACTCTGATGACAAGGATAAGTTCTCCTTATCTACCATTGGTCACCACAAAGGACTGTTCCTTCCCCTGTCCATTTGGCATAAACATTTGAGGTTTTCGAGAGAGGGGGGAGGGGACAGAAATTTGCGTAACCCATTTATCTGATTCTGAAGTTGTCTTCCAAGCCAGCATAGAGATACTCAGCTTTCACAAAGGCAAAAGCAGTACCTCCTGGGGGAAAGTCAACATAGTTGAAGGGAACACAAACATCCATCCGTGGGAGATCCAGGTCACGGAGCTCCCTTGTGCGAACTTGAAACCCAAGAGCAATCTGGTGCAGAAGAATGTCAGGGAATGTCTGTGGATTTATTTGGCCCTAAAACCTGGCACTACCCCCCAGGTTCTTGGAATATCTGTGAACAGCATTTGGCCTTGCTCACTTCCTTTGCTAAAGCTAAAGGCCAAACATTTGTTTTATAGGGCATTAGAATAACCTTCAAGGCTGGCAGGACTTGCTGACAGATGAATGACCTCTTGGATACCTCATCTTTGGTGCTAGATTCACTCACTTTTTCTTGGTTTTGCTCGCAACATTTTTTTTTTTTTTAACTTTTTTGGTTTTTCGAGACAGGGTTTCTCTGTGTAGTCTTGGCTGTCCTGGACTCACTTTGTAGACCAGGCTAGCCTCAAACCCACAGAGATTCGCCTGTCTCCCCCAGTGCTGGGATGACAGGCATGTGTGCCCGGCTCTCTCTACATTCTTGTCAGTTTGAGACAGTGCTTCTCTATGTATTCCTGGCTATGCTTGAACTCATTCACTATGAACACCAATCTGAACCTAGAATTCAAAGGGTACACACCATCTGGCTTCTCTTCACATTCTCATCATGAGATATGAGGATAGGGAAACTGATGGCACTAATATCCACTGGAAGCTTTGAAACTTCAAGTGGGGTAAAAGGCTGAAGCCAGGAATGTCAAATCACTTAGAAACTTCCTGCATGACCGTGAATAAAGCTGCTTTCCCGGGAGGAGCTGGATTCGCTTCCCTAGGTCCTCAGTGTGCCTTGGGCTTCCTAACATCTCATCATCTGGCAATGAAGGACTAAGGAATTCCCTTCTTCCACCACAGAACTTTATGGAATGACCTCACGGCCAGCAGCCATGTGCTTGTCTACAGGGGCCTCTGGCCGCTTACCTTGGGCAACAGAATCTGACTGCACATCGCCATCATAGTTTTTACAGGCCCAGATGAAGCCTCCCTCTGACTTCATAGCCTGGGCCACCATGTCATCAATGAGCCTGTGCTCATACCAGATCTTCTGAGCTTCAAACTGGGGTTTGTATTGCCTAAAACAAACAAACGAGAATAAAACAGAATTAGTTTTATCAGGGAGACCATTAGCAATTCCCCAAAGGGTCAGGAAACATTACCTTTAGTAGATACAGCACAGACTTGGGACTGACAAAAATGTGCTCGGATTCCTATCCAATCACAGTCTGATGCTGAACCCACAAACTGGCCATCTCTAAGAACAACATTCTCTCTTATGAATGAAGGTCTAAGACTTGGGTGAGAAAAACAGATTCTGCCATGTGCGACTTTACTTCCTATCATTTTCAATATAATGATCAGGTTCTGCAAGTCATCTTACCTTAAATATATAACAGTGCCCAGGCTCGGAACAGGTGGGCAGTAGGAAAAGGAATCTCAATGGAAAGGGCTCTCCTCTAATTTCAAAGGCCCTACCTGAACACTTGCCCTGACAGGGAGGATTTATGTCACGTTATGAACTGACAAACAAATGCCTCGTGTGCGGCTGAGATGAAAACTGTTACATACCAAGACGAATGACAGGTTAAAGCAGACCTTTCAATTCTAGCAAAGGTCTTCAGGAAGAAATAAACTGGGCCTCCCTCAGAAACTCACACTTTGGAAACATCAGTTCATTATAACATAAACTGGCTACTTTAGTCAAACATTAAACAACCCTGCCCCTACCAAAAGATAACTGTAGTGATGTCGTTCACTCAGTTTGTCCCAGGGTTACACTCTAGATGCCAGCTTAGTTGGAAACAGAAAAGGAATAAAAGAGCTGTCGTTACTTGTCATAGATCTCCTGAAAGATGTCCTTGAAGCGTCCATCGTACTTCTTCAGAATCGTGTTTTTGGTGCTGAGGTACAAAGGCCAGCCCTTGGACAGAGCCATTTGGAAGGAACTGTGTGCAAAGTCTTCAATTGACTTGTCCTCATTGTACATGCCCATGGAAACACCACCACCTTCTGTGGAGGGGAAACCACCAAGAACAAAGAGGAGAAAGGTGAGGGTGCCGGCACTGGTAGCAAGACTGAGACTATGTACAGTATCTAAAAACCAATTTCTCCGCAGCCCCGACTGGGTCAGGAAAGCGAAATTCCAGAACTTCCAATCTGAACAGGCTTATGGCACAGGCACAGAGGGAAACCATTTGCTCTAGATAAGGACATTCTAATGTATTCTAGAAGGGCAACAGCAGTAAGAAAAAAACGTACGGTCTTTTAAGATTCTGAGGACTGCAGGCACAGGCACCCATCTTTAATCCTAGCACTTGGGAAAAAGAGACAGGCTGATCTCTGTGAGTGTCAACAAGCCTGGTCTACAGAGTGAATTCTAGGCCTGCAAGGGCTACACAGTGAGATCCTGTCTCAAAACCCAAAAGACCTTGAAGATATCGAAACACCAAAATCTACAGCTGGGAACAAGAAATATAATCAAGAATGGGCAAGTAAGTTGGAACTCTTCCAAACACATTCTAACAATTTCCAACATGTACTTTATTTTTTTAAACTGTATGCATATATGTTGTGTGTGTGTGTGTGTGTGTGTGTGTGTGTGTGTGTGTGTGTCTGTGCGCGCGCACGCACGCGTGCTCACCACAGCACTCACATAGACCAGAAGACAGTTTCTGGCATCAGCCTCCATCTTCCGTTGCTGGAGGCTGGACCTCCTTTATTGCTTACTGCTGCAGCCAGGTTAGCGAGTTTGTGAGATTCTCTTGTCTCTGCTTCCCATCTCCCTGGGACTACAGACATTTGCTTCTGTGTCTGGCTTCTTGTGTGGAATCTGAGGATTTCAGCTCATGCTTTACCCAGTGAGCCATCTTCTCCAGTTCCCAACATGCATCTTATACTTAAATATATGTAATCCTCAATCACTGAGAAAGGTTTGCATTTTAACTACTGGGCAAAAATCTTCGAATTTCCTGGGGGATAATTGGTGTAAAGTGTAAATAATTATAGTATGTGTAATCACTGGGGTTTCACAACTCTTATTAACTGAACTCTGTTATTACTGAAAGTCAGAACCTGAGTCCATGCCAAGGCCCTAGGCTAAGTTGGCCGAGAATGTGAAAAACACTAAAACCCGCGGAACTAGATTCTATTAAACCACTAATGCTGAGAGGAGGAAGGAAAACAAAGGCTATGGAGGCCTGGTTTCCTGTTTGGGTAAATTTTGGGGCAGAGTTTTCCCTACTGACCCTTTAAGGTAAATCTGTGTGTGTGTGTGTGTGTGTGTGTGTGTGTGCATGATGTGTGTGTATGTGTGATTGTAAGCACGTGCGCATTCCCGTCTGTGCATACCGCAATGTGTGGGGGTCAGGGCAACCTCAGGCGTTGGTCTGTCTTCCACCTTGTTTAAGGCTGTTTGCGCCAGGGCAGAAAGCCTGTGAACTGCCAGGGAGTCTCTTGTCCCTGTCTCATCTCTTTAGGGCACCGGGACTACAGACCTACACCTGTGCTTAGCTTTTACGTGGGTTCTAGTGATTCAAACTCAGGTCCTAACATTTTTTTGGGTAAGCACTTTACCCAAAAAAACACTTCTATCCCTTAGTGCACCTTTTTTATTCCCTTCCTTTCAGCTCCCAAAAGAGACTTGAAGTGCATAGAAGGCTATCTTTGTCTTGTGATGGGACCTAAGATCCCACATGTTAGGCAAATGTTCCAGCACGGAGCCGCACCTCCAGCACACTAGGCTTTGGGGAGATGGGGAGAGAAGGCAAAAAGGAAATGTTTCACTCTCACAGCAGATTCCCAAAAAGGCAAAACAAAAATTTCAGCAAACGATGAAACCAATTCTAAATAGAAAGCCCAACAGAACAGAGACACAGATATCAGGACAGGAGGTCTGTGTCGTGAACACTTGATTTACACAGTTCACAAGCGACAGATTGCTGACACTCGTCCCTCTAAGATAAATGCATACGTGTCTTTGTCTCTACGTTTTCACCTGAGAAGCCAGGCTCACGGCCTTGTGTCTGTCTGTGCCACGGAAACAGGTGGAACTAGTCACTTTCCTATTTCGGGCTGCGATGTTCCTCAGAAATGTTGCCCATTCAGGTCGCCTTTTAGGTAGCTGCATAACTAGGTTCCCTCCCCCTCTCTCATTCTGTGAGATAAGGTTCCTTTGTGTAGGCCTGGGTCTCCTGGAACTCACTTTTGGAGTTTAAGAGATCCGCCTGCCTCTGCCTCCTGAGTGCTGAGATTATAGGTGTGCACCACCACTCAGCCATAACTAGGTTGTTTAAAAATGATAACAACGATGCTCAAGACATCTGCTAGCATGAAGTGCAGCTGAGAGGAACAGCACATACCTTCAAAGTTATGCACCACATATGTCACCTTTTGACCTCCATCTTTCGGTGTGTAGGTTATCTCTACTTTTCCTGGCCCGGGAACAACAAAATCAGTTGCTCTGTACTGTGAAGAGGGAAACACGCATTAAGAAAAGTACTCCTTCAGAAACTGCAAGGGGAAAAAGAGATTATCGCACCCAACACCAGCAGTGTAACTTGAGGTTCTTTGGTTTTAAGAGAAAGGGCTAGGAGGGGTCCACTACTAGGGAGACCTACTAGTTGATAATAGTGCCTGTTGAAGATCCGTTAATGTATATAGAGTTCTTATGAGCATTAATTCAATGAGTGGAGAATAACAAAGTTCTGCCTTAGCTTTGTCTCTATTGCTGTGTGATACAATACCCCGACTAAAGCAATTTAGGGGAGAAAGTGTTCCTTTCAGCTCAGTTCCAGGTGACACTCCACCTTAGTGGGGAAGTCACAGCTGCAGAAGCCGAGGGAGCTGGCCACATCACAGCCACAGTCAGGAACAAAGAGCCATGAAGGCAGGCCCACTTACACTCAGCTTGCTCTCTCTTTCATTCAGGCCCAGGCTGGGAAGTAGTGCCATCCGTGTTCAGGGAGGACCTTCCCACTTAAACTAACTGGGTTAAAAACATCCCTCACAGACCACAAGCCCACAGGCCAACCTAATCTAGACAATTCCTTCTTGGGACTCCTTTCTCAGGTGATCTTAGACACTGCTGCGTGGGATCTTTTACAGTGATCTGTTTTATCCAGTGGCTTAGAGTCAGGCACCCATGGGTTCCAGTCACACCTGCTGCTTTACAATAATCCTAACTAACCACAGCGGGTGAAAAAGAGCAGTCAGATAACAGAAAAGATTAAACACTTCTGTCATAGAAAGTACTTTGGTAATTGAGGCACTGATGTGCCCTAAAATACTTTGTGCAGATCCATGAATGTTAAACAGTGAGTCAACATGATATTTTTTTAAAAAAAGGATAATCTATTCCTCAAAAGAATGATAGCATAAAAATTAAGCAACAAAAAGGACAAACAAAACAAAAAATACTGAATAGGCAGTATGCCAACTAGGACAGGGTTAATGGTTAGGGAATCTATATTTCGGTCATTTAGAGTCCCTTGCTTAGGGATCTGGGACACATCTGTGAAGGGCTGGCCAGGATGAAGAGATACCGTGAGCCACAGTGTGAAACAAAAGCCACATGTCATGTCAAGGACAAAGCCGGTGACTCTGTCCCAGCAACATAGAGACATCTGCTGTGGCCACGGTTTTCAGGGTTGACTCCATAGAAGCCTCTAGCTGTAAACATTACAAGTTTCTGCCCAAAGTTTGGCTATGAGTCTCAGCATCTGCTTTAATACCCTGCTGTGTAAAAAGTCTTTCAGAGGCTCTCTGTGATAGGCTCCTGTCTTGGTCCTTGTTTTTACTGTCTTCCGTTGTCCATCCCGTTTACCTTTCTGAATGAGGATTGATCATCTTACCTAGGGTCCTCCTTCTTGCTTAGCTTTAGGTGTACAGATTTTAGTATGATTATCTTATATGTCTAATATCTACTTATAAGTGAGTATATACCATGTATGTCTTTCTGCTTCTGGGACACCGCACTCAGGATGATCTTTTCTAGTTCCTACCATTTACCTGCAAATTTCATGATTTCCTTGTTTTTAATTGCTGAGTAGTATTCCACTGTGTAAATGTACCACAATTTCTGTTTCCATTCCTCAGTTGAGGGACATCTGGTTGTTTCCAGATTCTGGCTATTAGGAATAAATCTGCTACGAACATGGTTGAGCAAATGTTCTTGTTGTATATTTGAAAGTATTTTGGATATATGCTTAGGAGTGGTATAGCTGGATCTTGAGGCAGAGTACAGGGAATTTTATGAAAGAAGGGGAGATAGAAAGACCTGGAAGAGACATGAGCTCCACAAGGAGAGCAACAGAACCAAAAAATCTGGGCACAGGGGTCTTTTCTGAGACTGATACTCTAACCAAGGACCATTCATGGAGATAACCTAGACCCCCTGCTACCCACAGAGGTAGCCCGTGGCAGCTCAGTCTCCAAATGGGCTCCTTAGTAATGGAAACAGGAGCTGTCTCTCACATGAACTGATTGGCCTGCTCTTTGATCATCTCTCCCTGAGTGGGGAGCAGCCTTACCAGGCCACAGAGGAAGACAATGCAGCCAATCTGATGAGACCTGATAGACTAGGGTCAGATGGAAGGTGAAGACCTCCCCTATCAGTGGACTGGAGAAGGGGCATGGGAGGAGAAGAGGGAGGGAGGGCAGGATTGGGAGGGGGCAAGGGGGGGCTACAGCTGGGATACAAAGTGAACAAATTGTAATAAATAAAATAACAAGACTGGTTGCAGCCCCTGCGTAACTCTCGCTGTGTCCACCAAGGGATCCATTTTAACATAATGCTTGGTAGTTCTTAACATGGCTGCATATTAGAATCAGCTGGAGTTTTTAAAAACATTGATCTTCACAAAATTCAAATTTCAACTGCTCTAGGATGGCACTCACAATGAAACCATCATCATCACCACCAATAGCAAATCTGATTAAAGGATCCCACTGTGCTGCCAGCAATGAAAACTACTGATCTGAGCCCATGTCTTAGCCAAAACTGCAGTATCGTATAGAATAACTCAACAAAAGGATAAGATATGTTTGGGGGGAAAAATGTGTTAAGATGGGTGTTTATTTGAAAGTTTATCTGTATTTTTATCCTTTCCTAAACATGTAAATATACAGTTTATGCACAATATATGTTGGACCTCTCTTAGGGGCATAAATACCTAAAGAACAAAACATAGAAACTGGAGCTAAACAACCATGAAAAATAAACATGAAAAATCAAATTATGCTCAAATGACTTACTTGGTCCCCATAAGCATGACGACCAATGATGATGGGTTTTACCCAGCCTGTCACCAGCCGGGGGATATTTTTGCAGATAATAGCTTCCCTGAAGACAGTGCCACCCAGAATGTTTCGGATGGTGCCATTTGGTGATTTCCACATTTGTTTCAACTTGAACTCCTCAACCCTCTTCTCATCGGGGGTGATAGTAGCACACTTGACACCAACATTGTATTTCTTTATAGCCTCTGCAGCGTCCTTGGTGACCTGGTCATTGGTGGCATCGCGATTCTCTATGCCTAAGTCATAACTTGGAGAGGGAGAGAGGTCAGCATGGCGGGGCAGACAAACTGACAGACTGCAATGCAGAGCTTCCTGGGCCAAGCAAAGACTCCAAACACATCTAAGCATGTCAAGTTTTAGTGTCACTGCATCCTAAACAAAAGGTTGGTGCCTGCCTACGAAAAGAGAAGTGAGCCAGGCTCGGTGCCATGCACGCCTTCAATCCTGGCACTCAGGGAGGCAGAGGCAGGCAGATCGATGTGAGCTGGATGCAGGTTAGCCTGGTCTACAAAGTGAGTCCAGGACAGCAAAGGCTACACAGTGAAACCCTGTCTCAAAAAAACTAAAGAGAGGTGTGCAGTACACTGGAAGCCTGGGCTCTGCCTTTCTGAAAGGCAGAACACTAAGTCAAAACCAATGCACTCTGCTAAACTGCCTCCTTCCTGCTTTTTACCATTTGAAGGCGGCAACAGCACACAGGCAGCCCTTTGGCCTGGTTTCTCTCCACACAAATTAAAGCCAAGTACAACCTTATTTTCCCATAGTAAGTTTTATACTATATAAATAAAGAGGTGGAGAAGGGATGAAAGGACTGTTTTGTATTTTTGGCACTGAAGTGGTCGGAAGGTTAGCTCTCGATCAGTGCCAAAAGAGCTAAGGAGTCTTTTGTCAAAGCCAGTTAGTCATAAGGTGACCCTTCCCCTACTTCTTGGGTAAGTCTTTGTTCTGGAAACAAGCCTGTAGTTTATTGGATAAGCAATGGGATCCACCAACCAACTGTATTTAGCACCAGCTCCCACAGTGCAGACCATTCACAGAGGAATAAATGCTGCCTGTCCACGGAGCACAGAAAACAACTGTAAAGCTTAAGTATGTAATGGTTTATTGAAAGTAATACAAGCCGGGACACGGTGGCACACGCCGGTAATCCTAGCACTGGGGGAGGCAGAAGCAAGTGGATCTCTGAGTTTGAGGCCAGTCTGGTCTACAAAGTGAGTCCAGGACAGCCAAGGCTACACAAAGAAATCCTGTCTCAAAGAAAAAAAAAATGCTGGGACATGATGGAGCACACAGGCCTTTAATCTTAGGAGGTAGTGACAGGGGGATCTCTTGAGTTTGAGGTCAGCCTGAGCTACAGACCAAGTTCTAGTATAGCCAGGGATACACAGAAAAACCCTGTCTTGAAGAAAAGCCAAAACAAAAACCAAACCAAACCAACCAAACACCCCCCCTCCCTGAAAAAAACCCAAACAAAATCTTTAAGTGATTTATTTTGTTTTCCACGGCCTTGCAGAAAAGTTTCAGCTCTCAAAACCAGCTAAGTAAGCTGCCTTTCTCTTTTCAGTGTTTGTATCTCCCTTTCTCAAGCTATCCCAACTGCTGGTGCAAACACAGAGAGTTACTTTGTGTATTTCCAAACAAATATATTTTCTGCCTTGGCAGTAGATAATTCATATACATGTAACACAGCCATACACTTGTTTCAATATTTCCAGGAGAAAGTAAAGGCCGAGACCTCTGTGTAACCTCTATTTATAAAAATGAAAAACAACAAAACCCTAACTGCCCCACTCTCCTTCCCCACCATAATACCCAGGTGACCATAACAACTGAGGAACTGGTAGGCTAGCGTGGAACTCACAGCGGCCCTTTTGCCTCAACCTTATAAGAGCTGGGATTACTGGCGTGAGCCACAAGGACTCTTCAGCATGCCTGTGCAGGCTGGGGAGACAGTTCAGTCACTAAAGTGCTTGTCTTGCAAGCATGAGGACCTGGGTTCAAGCCCCAGACAAAAAAAGGACATTAACAAGGCAGGCATGATTATGCATCTGTTCTCCCCGAGAAAGGAGGATCCCTGGGACTTGCTGGCTGGCCAGCTCAGTTTACTTGAAGAGATAGCTAAGGCTGTCCCTCTATCCTATATATGCAGCTGTGTCCACACATGCATGTACCCATCCCCCCAACACATACACCCACAGAGAAAGGAAGGACAAGAGTTGGTTTGTCACAACTACTGTAACTCCACTTCAGGCAATCTGTTGCGCTTTCCCTGCCTCTGCAGGCACCGGGTATATACACATGCATACTGCCTGCTTGTCAGACACCTAAACTAAAAATTCTGGAAACAAAACACGTCCCACCCCTCCCATGGGACAGGGGTAGGCTACCTACTGCCATGCAAAGTTCTGAATGAGAAAGTGTCTAAAATGTTTCTTTAACTCACTTGGAATTGCTCTCTCTCTCTCTCTCTCTCTTCTCCCTCCCTCATTTCCTTTTCTCTATGATTAGGGGTCTTATTTTCATTACAATATAGACAGTACCAGCAACTTAGGTTTACACAATCAAAAGGTAGCTACTGAGATAACTTAAAACTAAATAAATAACTTGTACCCAGCTAAGCCACAGGATGGGAACAGAGTGGTTCTGGGACAAGGCAAAGACAGACATCAATCATTTACCTTATATATATTGCTCAACACTATGCCATGCCAGCCTTTGACCACTTCACCCTTTTAAAAGATTGTCTCTATGTAGTTTCATATGTGCAAAAAGGCAAAGAGCAAGCTTATGAAAAACACCAAGGGCAGACAGTCCAGGTTGGTGGCTCATGCCTTTACTATCAGCACTTGGCTTGGCGGCAGAGGCAGGTGGATCCCTGAGTTCAAGGCTAACCTGGTCTACAGAGCTAGTTCCAGGACAGCCAGGGCTACACAGAGAAACCCTGTACCAAAAAAACAAAAACAAACAAACAAACAAATAATAACAACAGCAACAAAAGACAAAGAGGAAAAAAAAAACATCAGGAAAGAAGGAGAGAATAAATAACATACTTCCTAATGTGTCTCTAAACACAGCAGACACAGGGCGAAGGGACACAAAGAACTTAGGGAACCAACTCTGGAAGGTGGGTGTTCAGGTAACCACATGAATAGGACAGAAAATGCAGAATGAAACATAAAGCCCCACCCACTGACTCAGTAGGTGGACAGATGAGCCAGCTGGAAAGGACAAAACTGACTTTTTCTAACAGTATGTTGAAATAGAAGATTCCCTGAGAGCTGGCAAGCAATGCTCTGTAGATAAAAAAGGTTCTTGCTCCTAAGCCTGACAGTCTTTGGAGTCTACATGGTGGAAGAGAGAATCCACCTGCATAAGTTTTCCTGACCTCCACATGCATGCTGTGGAATGTACACATGTGTGTATACTCACACACACACATACATAACACATACACATACATACACACACACACACTTGGGCTAGCTTAGGCAGGAGGACTTCTGTGAGTTCAAGGCCAATCTGGGCTATGTATCAAATCTCTATGTCTCAAAGAAAACAAAAAGAAAAACAAACAAAAGAAAATTTAAGGCTTTAATCACAAAATACAGGTATTTTATATGTAAAAAAAATGTCAGGTAGATTTTGGAATAACTTAATTATGTTTCTGAGTTTGCTAGCTATGTGGAAGATCAATTCATTTACCTATGCAAATCCAGTTCTACATAGGGAAGGATGAGTTTTTCTTTAATCAATTCCCAAATGATTCTCGTCATTTCATCTCCTTGCATCTCCACCACAGAACCGCCATGGATTTTTCTGGACATTTTTACTTCAATAACCCTAAAAAAAAAAAAAAAAAAGGCTCTGTCATATTGTAAAGTAGAAAGGAAGTATCAATGAGTTGGTGACTATTAAAAAAAGAACAGTTTGTAATAACACAGTTATATAAATAGTCACAGTTACATTTACCAGCACAACTGAGAACTTCTCTGTGTAAGACACCATTTTACAGGAGAAGTTTCTGGAAATCAATTAGAAGAAACCAACCAACTAGTCTGGGTGAACCAATACTACCCATCAGATACAAGTTAAAGATTAACTGATGGCAGAGCATACAGCCCATAATTAATTCCATGTCACCAGTACCGTGCTTTAAAGGCAAACAAGAGACAGCAAACTTATCTTGGTCTCAATACCACATTTTCATGGCCACGTTCCTACACAGCATTACACAACAGTTATGACTAGGCTATTTTTCTGCAGTGGCAAATACAGCTAATAAAAGATCACAATGCCTGGAATGTCTGCAATTTTTCTTTTGGTTTGTTATTTCCTTCTTGGTGAATAGGTACTCTGCCATGGCCTTACTATATCTCAGAATGCATCAATGACATATGTCAGATGTCCCTCCATTTGGCTACTGATTTTTAGCACCAGTTAACTGAAGAAGTGAAGCTGTATCGCCGCTGTTATTGCACTTCTTTTGGATTTGGTTTCCATGGGATTTGTGGGATTGAGGTTCCCCTGGATTTCCTGCAACCTTGGGTCTCACATTTTCTGACTCTGCCCAAATCCAATTTTTGAAGGAAAGTGTGATTCAAACCCAAACCCAACAGCTACCAGCTCATTTACATAGTCTGGTGGCAGCTGGAACCCAATCCGACAGGTCTGTGCAATTCCAGAAAACAAACAAAGTAGCTTCTATCTTGAGCCATTTTCCCCCCAGCCAAGTTCAAGTTGCAAAACATGGGGGGAAACACTAAAAAAAAAAAAAAAAAAAAAAACCGTTGCAGTATATGGCTGGAAAATTCCTGCTTCCTCTCTTGCAGTATCTACACTTGCATCCACGCCCAATTAACTGCAGTACGATGTAGACACGTGAAGGAAATCAGGTTGGAGGGCAGAATCGCTAAGTCCCTCCTGGACGGTGAAGGGACTTAGCTATAGCAAGTCCCCCTGATTTTGCTGACTCAAACAACTGTAGTTTCAATTTACCTCCTAAAGCAAAGCAAAACCCGGAATAGAAAGTCTTAACATACAAATACCCCTGCCAGGAGGATTTATTTGGTTTTAATACTAGCCTGACAGCCCAGTTTATCTGGTTTAAAGTACAGCGCTTGGGTGTATCTGGAGGGGCAAAGGGCAGTTCATTTGTACAGAAACCTTCTAAATAAAAGAGTACAAATATCGGTGCGCGTGTACGCTCACTCCCACACGGCGGCGGAGGGTGACTCTGTGAACCAGCAGATATCCCTGTGCGCGTTGTGCAAGGCCTGCAAACTGAAGCCTACTCGGTTCCTCCTTCCATATCCTCACGCCTGCCCGGTCTCTCGGAGGTGCCAAGCCCTTTAATACCAGGTGCACCCAGCTGGCTGCAGAAGTCCTTCTCCAGAACCCAGCAGGAGCAGGGAAAGAAGGTGGAAGGGGGTCTTTTTCCAAATACCCAGGACGCCCTCCAGTGGCTAAGCAAACATTCCAGATTGAAGCCGGAGGCCCGCCTACCTTCACCCCCTCCCTCAAGTACGCTCTCACTAATGCTTCTCCGGCCTCCAGGGCAGGTCCCACCCCCAAACCTTGACGGAGTGCTCAGTACACCCCCAAACTCCCAGTTTCCACCCTCTCTGCAACCAGTTCCCCGCGGTCGCATTGTTTGCTTTCTCTCACACCCAACACTCAAGAGCTAAATTCTCCTCCGCCGGTGCAGACCTGCCACTTGTCACTGTTCGCGATGTCCTCGCCGCCCGAATCTCACCATCCCACCCTCGGGGGGACCCTTCCGGAAGGCAAGCCTCACCCCGCTAACCCCACTTTCCTTCCCTAAACCCACACTCTGCAAGTGTCCCCGGCTGCCCCAGGGCCTTGCCGCTGAGTTTATCTCTGCCCAGCCAAGACCCGTGTTTTCTCCCTTTGCTCTCGCTCCAGCTCTCTTTGGAATTGTCTAACAGCGAGGGGCGGTGGCTGTCGCTCGGAGCCCGAGGGCACCGCAGGGAGAGAGGGAAGGAGCGCCGGCCTGCAGCCCGAGGCGCCTCGACTACTCACCGGCTCACACCCCGACCCGGCCCCGGCTAGCTCAGCATCCACCACAACCTTCGCACCGACGCCCGGAGGCAGGGTCAAGGATTTTTAACTTCCCGGCTTTGTCTCCTCCCAGGCCCCACCCCCTCAGCCCACCTCCTGTAGCCCCGCCCCCCCGGGACACCATTCGCCCCGCGCGGACTCTCTGGGGTGGGCGGGGCGGCGGAGGGAGATCGAGTCCCGGAGGCGGTGTCCGGAGTGTTCCCTGTGGGGGATGGGGCTGCCACGCCGCCGGGATTCCTTGGGAACACCCTGGGGCCGAGAAGCGAGGGTGCCACCTGCCGGCAGGCTACCGGGCGCCCTGAGGGCGGTGTTCTGGGCTCCGTAGCCATCTAGGAATCCCGGCCTGAGCGTCCCGGTTCTCAGTAAATGCACAAGAGAGGACGCGCTCTCTAGACAGGATTTTTAGCAGGGCCCCTTCCTGGTGTTTCCCGTTGCACTTTAGGCTAGGGTGTGCCTTTTGAAGAATGTGTCTTTGGGGGTTTCAAAGGTGTGGAGGGGCCAACTATAGATGCCGCTAAGGATGCAAAGGCTGAACAGGCCACCGCACCGCCTCAATCATTCCCTCCACTACCAAGGATCTGTATACCCAACGGTTACTACTCATAAATAAGCCCCACCCTCCATTCGCCATGGAGGACAATGAAGTTTATTTTCTAGGTTCCGATGAATCTAAGATCTTAGATCCAGGACAGCCAAGGCTACACAAAGAACCCCTGTCTTGAACAAAAACTAAAATAATAATAATAATAATAGTCACAATAATAATAATAATAATAATAATAAATACAGCACTGTATTGTAAGGATATACAGGGCAGATAGCAGGGTGCAGTTTGGACGCTAGAAAGCGCTAGTATTTTTCCCAGGTGGAAAAGAAACAACACCCCAACACCCATGGTGTCTGCTGTTCTGTGTGAGTTTATAACTTCACCTCTAATTTCATACCCTGAATCTCGAGAGATTGTAAATGTGACTTCCTACCGCATTAGGTCATATTGTTTATTACTATCAGTAAGAATTCATATCCATGCTTCTTCTAGAAAGTATTCTAGAATGAATCAAAGACACATAGAATGTAACACAATAACTATTGATTATAGAAGATAGAAAAGGTAAAACGAATGCATAGGATCTCTATACAGAACCAAGGTGGATTTAAACATAAGCATCTTCCATCAAGTTCTAAATATGTACTAGGCGTGGGCTGAACGTCTGTCTCTAAGACACCTCAGTGTCTTAGGAAATATGGCACTTGTGGGTATGTCACCATCTGAAAGCGTGTTTCTGAGGGCTACAGTGCTCGAACTGATATATCACTGAAGAGAATATTTGTAGATGCCTGGCATTGAATTACATCACGATATTACAAAATAAACCAGGTGTGGCCGTGCATATTTGTATTCCTTACACTCAGAGGGCAGAAGCAGGAGAACTGCCACAGGGTCCAGGCTAGCCTTGTCTACGTAATGAGCTCCAGGTCGATCCGGTCCCATTTCAAGATGAAGAATAAACAATACCCTACACACAGATAAATGTGTGGGTAAAACCATTCATATTCTCATACTGAAGCTCTTATACAATCATAATGTGATAAGCTTATTACTTCAGAATGACTAGGAAAAAAATGACAAATCATCATTTTTAAATGATTTGTGTCTAAAATGTGAGTATGGGAAATGTGCTTGCCCCAGCAGGGATGTGAAGGTTCTGGAGATGGAACAGAGGAGAAGGGTCACAGGGCAAGTGCTTTGATCCTACTGAGCCACCCCTCTAGCCTCACAAAACAATACATCACCATTATCGGTAACAATTAGATTTAAAAACCAATGTTTGTCTGAAATGACATGACTGGTGAAAACGTGAACGTGAAGTTCACTGCTCATATTCAGTTAGGTCACTGGACTTCCATTCTCGTGACTTGCTATCATTTTGTTTTCATCTACTCAGTAAAAGAATCTAAGTGTTTGAATAAGGTCTGGTGCCAACCACTGCTGTAACATCAATGAAACCTGGGTCAGAGAATGTCTTTCAGCATCTGTTTGGCTATAAGACACTTATCCAAGATGATGGGAATTTCCATAAGATTCCAAGGCTACTTACTATATTTTCATTTTGATGATCTGAAAAATTAAAGCAAACAAACAAATGGGGGTGGGTGGCAGAAAATAAGAAAGTGGGCTGGCAAGATGGTTCAGTAGGTCAAAGCATTTTTCTCCAAAGCAGATATTTTGACCTCAGTCTCCAGGCCCCACATGGTAGAAGGAGAGAACTGACACTTGAAGTTGCCCTCTGACCTCCACACATGTGCTGTGCCATTTATATGTATATGGGTGCGCACACACATACATACACGCCCAAAATAAGTTCAAATAAATAAAATGAAGGGAAGCAAAAGGACTTGCTCATTACTCATCTGTGAAAGTTATGGGCAAGAGAACAGCCAAAATAACTGCTGTACTTGGGGTCTGGGTGATGGACACCCTTCTACAAGGAAGGGATATGGTCCTGTGTTAGATGAACAAGATATAATGTGAATGCTTGTGGGACAGGACAATGGGGATGTCCTGAGGCAGCTAGCCACAAGCGTCTGGAGCTCAGAAGTGATGACTGGGTGAGCGACACAAACATGGGTTTCTTAAGTGTGTGCTGATAGCGTTGAAGATAGTATATGAGATCACCCAAAGTACAGTCAGAAGAACAGCCTACCAGCAAGAACCCTGAGGCATATTTAAAGGATCAGGTGGAAGATAAGAGCCTCCCATCCCCAAAGAGAATGAAGGACTAGGGTAGGAGGATTGCAGAGTCTGATATGATAAGCCATCAGCCCAGAAAGGTTTCAAAAAAGGAAGAAGTACTACAGAAAGGTTAGAAAAAGACAGCCTGAAAATAAGAGTAGGAAGACCTCATGAATGCACTTTTAGTAGAATAACCCAAAATTGATTCTGTTAGGAGCTGTGCTGCTGGAAATTGAAATGTGAATGAGAGGTGCTGGAAGGGAGACCAGAATGTTGTGAAGATTGTCTCATGTAGTCCAGGCTAGCGTTGGACTTGTTATGTGTTGGAGGATGATTTAGAACTTCTTGCCTTCACATCTTCAATTGTTAGGGTTACAGACATGAACCACTATACCTAGCTAGAAAACATAATTTTGATGATTCCATATTTTAACCATTATTTGGCATACTTGGAGGACATTTGCCTTGAGTAAAGTGAATCTGATTCTAAGTAATTTGTTTTAGTTTTTTTTTTTTTTCTCTTACTGTATCAATAACAATGCAAACCACAGGCACAGGCAAGCAGATCTCTGAGTTCCAGGACAGCCAGGGCTACACAGAGAAACCTTGTCTCAAAAAACCAAAAAACAAAACAAAAAAAGAAACAAACAAAAAAGAAAAAAAGGATGTAAAGCAGTCTTTATCTTGCTGGTTAAAATGCTTTTCTTTTAATCAACTCTTTTTGCTAGGTTAGTGGAATCAGTGGAACTTCAAGTCTTGGATCAAGGAGTATAAACATTTTAAAGGTGCTTGTTAGAGATACTAAATCATTTTGCTGAAATAATATAACCATTTATGCTTTGGCATGTAGTGTAAATGAGTGATAATTTCATTATTTTCTAGCTAGAAGTGAGTCTTACAATTAAAAAGACAGCAAAAATGGAAAAAGAAAAGAAAGAAACAATCTTTATATCATCTACCACAGGAAACCAAAGCTTTTTAGACAATCAAATTGATTATATAAACTGGACAGGTCGTGTTGGAAATAAGTCCAGTAGGCCAGAAAATAAATATGTACCTTCAATATGTTAGGTCAAGAAGGAATGTACCACAAGATCAGCTACTAACAACACAGTTAACTGTGAAAATTGAAAGCTTTTTGTTCTGTGATCAGGCAAAGGTGCTTGATCTTGCCGCTTCTCAACACATTACAACACAGCAATTAGGCAAGACAAAGGCATAGAAGGCATTCAGACTGGAGAGGAAGAAGTTTAGATACCCTTTCTGTAGGTGATACACAATCTTAGATCTGGAAAATCCTAAAGATGTGATCCAAAACCTGTTAGAAGCAGTGAAATTCAGTAACGTTTGTATTCACTAACAATAAACTCCTCAAAAGAGATTAAGAAAACAATCTTACTTGTAATACTACAAAATTAAAAGGCTTAGAAATAAATTTAACTTTACAAAATTGGCAAACCAATGAATGACTGGCCCAACGAGAGACCCACCCCATGGGAGAGAGCCAACTCCTGATACTATTAATGCTACTTCTGCTTTGCTTGCAGACAGGAGCCTGAAGTTGCCACCATCCTACAGCCAGGTAGGATGTCCAGTAGAGGAATGGGGACACCAACCTACCAATAAAACCTTCCATGCAAAATTTGTCCTTCCTACAAGAAGTGTAGGGATAAAGGTGGAACAGAGATTAAGGAAATGGACAACAAATGACTGGCCCAACTTGAAACCAACCCCATGGGAGAGACCCTCCCCCAGATACTATTAATGATACTCTTTTATGCTTGCAGACAGGAGCTTAGCATAACTGTCTTCTGAGAGGCTTCATCCGCCAGCTGATGGAAACAGATGCAGAGACCCACAGTCAAACATTAGACGGGATCTTGTAGAAGAGTGGGAGGAAGGATTGAGGGAGCCGGAGGGGTCAAGGACACCACAAAAAGACCTACAGAGTCAACTAACCTGGGCCCATGGGGGCTCACAGAGACTGAACCACCAACCAGAGAGCTTACATTGGCTGGACCTAGACCTCCTACACACATGCAGCAGATGTGCAGCCTGGTCATCATGTGGGTACCCTAACAGTGGGAGTAGGGCCTGTCTCTGACTCTGTGGCCTAGCTTTGGGCCCCTTCCCCCTACCTGGGCTGCCTTGTCTGGCTTCAGTGGAAGAATGTGTTTAGCCCGGCTGCAAATTCGTATGCCAAAGTAGGTCTTTACCCATGGGGTGGGGGCTTCTCTGAGAAGAGGAGGAGCGGGAAGGGAGGGGAGCAGGCAGGTAGGACTGGGAGGAGTAGAAGGAGAGGGCTGCCAGCAGGCTGTAAAAGT